CGCGCTTCGAATGTTCGCGCTTCTTTAGGGGGATAACGCTACTTTCCTCCACAGGCACCACCACCATGGAAGCGGCATTGCCGGAGGGCTGGTGAAGGGGGCTTTGTCAGTTGCTGCCTCTGCATACAAGGCCTTGTTTGCTGGACCACCAGTCACTGCGCAGGTCAGTGCCTGCTTTATTTTCCTGGACCACGTTCAAGTCGTCGGGGAGAACAGCGGCTTCTGTCCGCGTTGGAGAGGAGCATGGCATTGTATGAAGCGTAAGCTTTAGGGTTAGTCTTCGGGTGACACACAGTTTCACCACTTTTCTTGCTGTATGACGTTGGCCAGGTCTGTTGAGGGAGGAAAGGCAAAGGACCTAATGTTTATTGAAGAGCTGTTATGTGTAGAGAGCTCTTCAAGTGCTGGCGCTACCAGATGAATAAGACTGCAATCCTGCCGTAGATGGTGGGAAGCAGGTGAGGTAAACAGATGCTCACAGCAGAGTGTAAGATGCTGTGTTGGTGTTCCTGACAGCTGCTGATGTTCTCAGCCCAGTGTGGGCCGCCAGGAAGCAGGGAAGGCTTCCTGGTAGATGGTGCCTGAACCAGGTTCTAAAGGAAAAAAATAAGTTTGCCAGGAAAGTGAAATAGGAAGGGCATTGTAGCCCGAGAGCAGCATGTAAACAGACTTGGAAGTATGAGTCCAGAAGGTGAATATGGGCTAGGAAGAGTAAGAAAAGGCCTTAGCTTCACAAGCAGAAGCTGTGTTAAGTGGTTTGGAGTTTAACAGTAGTGGGAGGAGCCATTGGAGAGTTTTAGGAAAGTAATTAACACGATCAGATTTGTTCATTGTGAAGTTATTCTAGTGTGGAAGCTGGGAAATCTGTTTGGGAATCCATGTGTAGGTGGGAAAAAGGGGTAGGAGAGAAGTAGACAGAAATGGCAGAACTTGGAGACTATGATTAAATGGCTGGAAGCCAAGGTTAAATCCCAAGTTTCTGATTTAGGCAATCACTAGTACCATTCATTAAGAGAAGATGTGCAGGAAGAATGTATTTGGGCAGGAGGAGAAGAAATTAGGTCAGTTTGGGTGGTGCTGAATTTGAGGCACATCCAGGTAAAGTTATCCAGGGTGCTGTTGGGTGTGTACATCTGGGTCATGGGGAAGATTTGGCCCGGAGTTGGTCATTTGTATACAGGTTATAGCAGGAGCCGTGTGGTTGGATGAGATTTTCCAGGACTAATGGGGAAAGCAAGAAGCAGCCTTTAAGGATCATGAAAAGAAGGAGGGCCCCTTCAAAGAAAAGACTGAGAACTTGGAAGCAAATGAGAGTTCTGTGCTGCAGCTTAGGCAAGGGTACCTTAATGAGGAGGACATGGCCAGCAGCGTCAGAAATGGGAACTGAGGAGAGGACTTTGACACCACAAGAATGCCTCACTTTAAAGTGGCTGGGTTGCTCACCCGGCTTGCTCAGTAGCTCAGGTGATGAGAGCATCATCCCTGTGTACCAAGGTTGCAGGTGTGATTCCCGTTCAGGCCACATACAAGAATTTACCAATGAATGAATGAATAAGTGGAACAACAAATCAGTGTTTCTCCTTCCTCTCTAAAAATTAATAAATTTTTAAGAAGTAGCCAGATTACAAAGGGAAAAAGAAAGTGAAAGCTTGGATACATAAGTCAGAGGGAAACATTTTTATTTATGTTTTTAAGATTTATTTATTTTTAGAGGGGAAGGGAAGGAGAGAGAGAGAGAAATATCAATGTACTGTTGCCTCTCATGCGTCCCCTGCTGGGAACTGGCCTGTAACCCAGGGATGTGCCCTGAGTGGGAATCGAACCAGTGACCCTTTGCTTCACAGACCTGTGCTCAATCCACTGAGCTACAGCAGTCAGGGCAGAGGGAAGCATTTTTAAAGATGGGGGGGCGGGGAACATGGGCAAGCCAGTAGTGAAGATTAACAATGAAGATGAGAGGAGAATTAATAGGAAAAGATTAATGAGCTAGAGATAATGAAATACAAAGCAAAGTACACTTGGAAGGATCGGTTTGGCAAGAAGGATGGATAATTCTGAAATAAGAGGGAAGACGGAAATAGTGATTTACACGTAGAGGGAAATGACAGAGATTGCTTAACACATTTACATATTTTCCCATCTTAATACTCAACAACCCTGCCAAATAGGAATTATTCTGTAACTCCATTTTCATAAAGAAGGAGAATTGATACGCAGTACAGTTAGTGAGCACATGGAAGGGGTCAGAGTGTTGCAGGTATTAGGAGGATTTAGGAAGGTTGCGTCTACCACAATGCTTGGCCCAAAGAAGGAGTAAATGAGTGTTAGATCTCTCTTACCTGGATCGCTTCTATGAAAATAATAGTATAGCAATTATTAGAATAACAATTAACAATAACAATTAAAGGATAAAAACCTAGAAGGTAACCTAGGGTGTAATTTTGCAGGCAGTGTTTTGTCCAGCTCTTTTGCATATATGACTAAATTCCCCATACCAACTTCTATAACAGTTTCTTCTCCTTGTATTTGTCCCATCCTCACAATCACCTTTGTTTTCGTAGGGCTTCTAGAGCTCGTTTGCATCCTCTCCTTTATGGGGCCAGAGAATACTTCCTTCTAAAAGTCCCCTCTGAAGCCTGCTCCTCCTAGCTCCGAGGACAGTTCATTAGTTGCCCGTGGAGAACAACCCACACCTCCTACAAAACAGGGCTTTCCCATTCTGACCCCCGATGGCCTGTCAGTAGCATGCGGACAGGAGTGCCGTTCCCTTGCATCTAACCTAGTATTTTGAATAAGTCTGGAAAGATTAGTATGACTTAAATTATATAGAAATGTTATTCTGCTTTTCTTGACTCCACACAGCCAGTTGTTTCTGAAGACCAGACAGCCATCCTGATGGCTCATCTCTTTGAAATGGGATTCTGTGACAGGCAGCTGAATATGAGGCTGCTGAAGAAACACAATTGCAACATCCTGCAGGTTGTGACGGAGCTCCTCCAGGTCAACAACAATGACTGGTACAGCCACCGCTACTGAGAAGTGACCGCGTATTAAATACCCTTGCCTGCTGCTCAGAGACTATCTGTATTGTCTTCGGGGTGTGGGGGAGAAGCCCTTGCCTATTTTTGATCTGATGAAGCTGTGTAGAGCCCATCACTGAGTTGTCCCGACAATACCTGTATGACAGTATTTTTTGGAGCACATGGAAGACGAGAACATGTTTTCACTTCAGACATTTGATGAGTAGTAGGAAGACTGCTTTCCAGTCGATTGGGAGTAGAACGCCTTTCTCCGATTTAGTGCGTTGAAGAGTATATCTTGAACTTCCTATACAACCATTTTTCTTTCTGCTTGTATTGAAGTTGAGTATTTTTCTTGGTTAACGTGGATGTTTTTATGGGGTTATATTGTTAATGTCAGTTTTTAAAAGAAATTAACCCTGAAAGTTGTTTTCAAGAGTTACTCAGAATTTCTTTGCCCGACCCCAAGCCTCATAGTTACGTGGTATTGAGATGATGCCCAGAGCACGATGGGAGTGTTTCTCTTCCTCTCGCTGTCAGAAAGCCATTTCCCTGCAAGACTTAGGAATTGACACTGTTGTTTTCTAAAGGGCTCGTTGAGGAACGAGTCACCTGTCTACCTATCCACCTTATGGGTCTCCGCACTGCAGCGAAAGGGGAAGGTACTGGTAGTGCACTGGTAGTGTGCTACCTGCTAAACCACCCGCACCTTTAGAGAAGTGTCTGTTATAACCTTGCATACATTTTTCTTTTATTTAAGGGAGAAGAAATTAGGTAGTGTGAACTATTTTGGTAATCCTATAGAGGAAAGAAAAAAACTTCTATTAAAGGAAAAGTAAATTTAACAGTCACTTTTTTCTTACGTCAGAGCAGATCTTATTTACAGTAATGGGGGGAGGGGGACAGAAACAGGTGAAAAGGGAAAGGCAAGGCTCCTGCGTTAATCTCAGGAAAGTTCAGGGGTGGGCACATACCTGTGCGTGAGGCACCGGAAAGCCCGACAACTTCATGGATGTTTGGGATCTGTTCCAGGGTACCCATCTCCAGGGAGCTAGGACAGGAGAAGAGGGTGGTGCTTTGCAAAACTTGGTTGGGGGCAAACACTGGAAAAGTTTTGGTTTAACCCCAGGATGAGTGGGGAAGAGCTTGCTTCCTAGGGTGCAGGTCCTCAGTTTTCAGAAGAGCCTTGGGTACAGTTGGTGAAGAAAGATTACAAAAAAAAAAAAAACACTAAGAGAGCCCTGGCTGGTGTAGCTCAGTGGATTGAGCTTGGGCCTGCAAACCAGAGGATTGCTATTCGAATGCTTGGTCCGGGCACATGTGTGGGTTGCAGGCTGGTTCCCAGCAGGGGACCCCAGGAGAGGTAACCATACATTGATACTCTCTCCCTCTCTCCTTTCCTTCCCCTCTAAAGATAAGTAAATAAAATCTTTAAAAACATTAAGATATTTCCATAAAAATGACTTCAAGAAAAACCATCTCACCCCAGCCCAAGGGGGGGCGGGGATAGAAAAAGTGTTATTTAACCTGGTTGGTATTTATAATGAATGATTTTAATTAATCACTAGCCATAATGATGTTTATTTACAGTATAACTCTCAAACGCAGATTAACAAGCTAGGATTCAGAATGCAAGCCAAATGGGCTATTCATTATTTAAAACGTTTTTATCCGGGCTTCTGGGTAGAGACTGAGCGGCAGGATGTGTGTGATTGGGTTGATGTGGGGTGGGACCTGTCTCGGCCCTCTGAGTTGTATTGTAGGGACCCGGGAGGGACCCGGACGGGCTGTCCACCCCGTCGTACTTGTACATAACTGCTGGAAAAAAAGGTGAAATAAAGGTTCTTTGAAACTCCCACTTGGATTGGCTGGTCATTCCGGAAGCAGCGTCCAGAGCCTGAGCGACCTTTGAAGAGCCGGGGCGTTTCTGAAGGGGCGGGCGCCTGCCTGGGAGGGCGGGGCCGGAAGGGCCGGGGCGGGGCTTCCCGAAGCTTGCAGTCAAGGCTCGGGGCACGGCCTGGTTCCCTCAGGCTCTTTCGATTCTGCTGGCAACCGGTTCTGTACCTGTGTGGCCTAGGGGTAAGGCAGTCGCTTCTTTCTCCTTGGGAGGCAAGGGCTAATGCTCCTTTCGTACCTCCTAGCCCAACACACAGGCGACCAAACGCGACTAACGGCTCCTCCGGTGGGACGTGAAATTCCCCCCTCAATGAAATTTCAGCCTCTGTCAGTTCCTCCCCCCACCACTATCCCCACCCCGGCGTGTGGCCGGCCCCGGAGTAGGGTGGAAAGCAGCTTGGCTCTCCTGGGAGGCGTGGGTCGTTGCTGCTCTCCGCTCCCTCCAACGCGATGCATTGGGTCCCCAGGACTGCTGAAGGGGGCCCGGTCGCCCTGGCGAGCCCCAGCTGTGGCTCCTCGGACCACCCTGCCCAACAGCCCCTCCTCCCCATAGACACAGACCCAAATCTGTACTTGCCGCTGAGAGGAGCCCCGGATCCCAGACCTGAACCAGGTGAGGCTCCCTTTATTTCATTTATTGATTTTGGAGAGAGAAAAGGGGAGACAGAAGGATAAGAGGAACATCCATTTGTTGTTCCACTTATTTATTCATTGGTTGGTTCTTGTATGTGCCCTGACTGGGGATCGAACCCACAACAAGGCGATGCTCTGACCAACTGAGCTACCCAGCCAGGGCCACTCCCTTTATTTTAGCCTAGGAAGGTCTGAGTGCAGCGGCTCACCTTGCCCACTCACTCTGCCACCACTCTTAAGGTTTTTTGGGGAAAAAAACCCTATATTTAACCTTGGCCTTTCCTAGTGAAGGAGGGGACCCTGACATTGCAACCACCTGCCTGGAGGCATGCTTTCCTACTCCACTTCGAAAAGCAGTGAGGAAGAGGTCTGTGCTCCCCTCCAGGATTATCTTAGGGTTCTTAGCCTCATCTGTGACCAGTCTCGCCTCGTTTCTCGTGTTTCAACAAATCCCTGCCTTCCTATTAAAGCCTACACCTACCCAGGCTCAGAAATGCAAGCTTTCCTTCCCTACCTTGGCTGGGAGACCTCTTTCGAGTCCTGTTCTTGCCTAGGAAGAAAGGACTGGACTTACTTCCTTCCCCTGCCCTACGCAGCTTAATTCCCTTGAAGTAAATGACTGGTCAGCAACTTTCCCGGGGGAAGAAAAAGTGCTCTGCCATTCACTTATGAAAGTCCCTGAAAGTTAAATAACTTCTGCTTTTCTTTTCCTTCCTGTAGGCAGATTGAGCTCTCCTACAGTAATGAAAGGACTTTGAAATGCATTGAGATTTCTGACCTGAGAGTCCACTGTAACTGCTCGATTTTCCATACCCTAGCTTCCTGAGGCTTGAACTTGATGAAAACGCGGTGGAACTGTGTCAATCTTGAGAACCTGAAAGAGTAGCATTACTCTAGAGTAACATTCAGCATCAGTGCTAACAAGCTGAGCCCTGAACTTGGTTCTTTTCTCATTAGCGAGAAAGCCCCCTGAACGATGGGTGAGACGTTCTCCCAGCTGGGCTCTCAGGAGGATGAAAACAAGCCAATTCTACGTCCTGCCGCAGCCATCGTCAGCAAGGCTGCCAGATACGCCAGCGACGGCAGCAGCAAATTGTTTTCTTCCTGTGCATCTTGTGAAAGGGCTGCTGGTGCCAGCTTTGTGACTTGTCCCACCTGCCAGGGCAGTGGGGAGATCCCTCGAGGTGAGTGGCTCGAGGCTCTGGAAGTAGCCTAAATCCAGGGAACACTCTTAGCAGTCAACTGGCCTCAGGTCAGGCGCCTCTGAGACTCCTTGAATGGGATTGGGCCTCCCAGCTCTTGGTCCCCCAGTTTCAGGCTAGCCAGAGAGATGTTAACCCCTCTTGTGTCAGTGGTGCTCCCTAGCCCCAGGGGGTTTCCAGCCTCTCTGCTCCCTTAGCAACAATGTGCTCAAGGATTCAGGAGGCTACAGATGACTCCTCCAAAGAAGCTAGGCTCTGATTTGCTGGTGACTCGCAGAGGTTCTTCACATATGTTTATGAAAATCTCTGACTTTTCATGCTAGAGGTAGCAAAACTGAGCTGCCAGCTTCAGCAGCACACCTCAGTGCTTCCAGACCTGCTCTGGGGCAGAGGTGGCATGCCTCTGACATCGCTCTGTGGGGTGGGGGGACTTCTGGCAGGCTGGCCCAGGAAACATTTCCCATGGGCACTTCTTGGCCCTCCCTCGCACTTCTTTCTCTCTACAGAGCTAGAAAAGCAGCTGGTGGCTCTCATCCCCTATGGGGACCAGAGGCTGAAGCCAAGGCACACGTAAGCCCCTCTTCCTGCCCCTCAGCTCCACAGGCCATTGCCCATGGGGCTGTTCCTCTTTGTCTTCTCTGTCTGCCTCCCCCAGTTTTTCTCCATTAATTCTCCCCTTAAAGAGCCTGAGCCTCATGGGGCTCAGATGTACTCGTCCCATTTCTGTACATTTTTTTAAAGATTTTATTTATTTATCTTTAGAGAAGAAAGGAAGGAGAGAGGGAGAGAAATATCAATGTATGGTTGCTTCTCATGCGACCCCTGCTGGGAACTGGCCTGCAACCCAGGCATGTGCCCTGACTGGGAATCGAACCGTGAACCTTTGGTTCGCAGGCCCGCCCTCAGTCCACTGGGCTACACCAGCCAGGGCCCCCGTTTCTGTACATTTTCCCAATTTAAAAAATCCAGGCCATAAAGCTACTTGATGTCCTTCTCATGAGCTCACTGTCTCCCAGAAGCATGGCTCCCTTTCGAAGGCAGAGAGGACCTCTTGACCCTGCGAGTCCTTCCAGGAGGGAGGGCGTGGCCCTGGCTGCAGGGGCCTCTGGGAAGTTACTTTTCCGAAGAGCTTCCCTTGCTGTGACAGTTCAGACCTGCTTGTTCTCTTCCCGGTAGACATGGAAAACCAGATGCTCCCTGTTCTGAAATACTTCAGAACCTCAGAGGCAGCCCCGAGTTTCACTGGGGTCATGACCCTGACTATCATCTGGGTCCATTTGACGTGGACCCCCTACAACCTCTTCCCCGGGTCCTCAGCTTCCGCCTGGGAGCCAGCACCCAGCCCTCCCCACAGTTATACCAGAATCTGAACCCGCAGTGTCCCTCACCAGATACTTACAAGGTGTGATTTCTTGAATGCACGTCTCATTTTTTTAATTAGATGGACAGATGGTCTCCTGTTCTGAATATTCAGAACTCTCAAAATTCACATGGACTGACTTTTTCCAGTGGTCATAACACACATTTGTTTAGCTTGAGTTATGTGCCAGGACTTGGGATTAGTGCTTTTCCCCATGCATTAGTTTATATCAAATTCTCTGAGGTGGGTACAATTATCTCCATGTTACAGACCAGAAAACTGAGGCTTGGGGTTGCTCAGGACTTCGACCCAAGGGGCACAGAGAGCTGGGCATGGACGCCTAGCTGTCTGCCACCAGTCCCGGGCTCCTAACTGCTCAGGCCACGTCTGCACGTAGGCTGGTCCTACACACCCAGGGCGCTAAATATACATTGGGGGGGCAGGGTGCACGGGGAGCCTCGTGCACGGGGAGGAGTGTCTGCGCGCCCCCTGCCGGAGTCTGCTCGGGGTTCAGACTCCTGCACCCCGGCTCCCACTCTCCGACAGGAAGCTCTCCGTGTTCCTGGCGGTGCTCGTCTGCCTCGTGACCGCCGCCCTCCTCGTGTTTTTCCTGTTTCCCCGCTCCATCGCCGTGCAGCCCGCGGGCCTCAACTCCTCCACTGTGGCCTTGGACGAGGCTGATATCCACCTCAACATAACGGTGGGTGGGTGCCCGCGCCCCCGGGCTCCTCTGACCCCACCTTCCCAGCTATATTCCTCTGTGGCCCTTGTCCACTGTTGAGACCCTGGGCACCCAGAGGGTGGTGGAAACCTGAGGAGAAGCAGGGGCAGCTCTGAGCCCCCTAACAGATAGGGTAGGATGGAGACTTTCCACAGCGAGGAGTCGGAATCAGGGCCCCAGAAATAAATCACAGCGTGTAATGGGGGTGGGTGGGCGGGCTGAGACAGGGTCCTGAAACAGCTCAATGTTTTAGTTCAGGTGACCTTTCATACCGTAAAGAGCCCCCTGCGGGGTTGGGGGGTGGGCCCCGGAGGGCGCTCCTGGCGCTCCTGGCACTCCGGCAGCTGAGGCTCATCGGGGGTGGGGCTGGAGCTCCGCCAAGCTGGGGGTTTTGAAACTTCGACTTCCCCTTTGTAAGGACAGCCACTGTCACCCTTCTCTTCCCGCCAGAATGTCTTGAACGTCTCCAATAGCAACTACTACCCCATCACGGTGACCCAGCTAACCACTGAGGTCCTGCATCTGTCCCTCATGGTGGGGCGGGTCTCCAGCAGCCTCCTCCTCCACATTGGCCCTTTGGCCAGTGAACAGGTGACTCCCTGTCCCTGGCCAGCCCTGCCCGCAGGTGTGTGGATGTGTGTGGTGGTGGGAAGTGGGCAGTGGCGGGAGTCGGAGCTAACCCTGTAACTGTTTGGTTGACAGATTTTTTATGGAGTAGCCAACGAGATCGGGGATGAAAACACATAGTGAGTGTGCCTCCATCTCTTCTCCCTCGGCCTCTTTTCTGGCTGCAGACCTGGCTTTGATCCCCATCAGATTCCCGGATTGCCTAACAAACCCGGTGGCCAGCCTTTGGCCTGCGGACGTGACTGAAGCTCCCATGACTCAGGGTCCCCCACCCTCTGCCTTTTGGGACCTAGATTGTAATGCAGAACAGCCTTGCATTCCATTCATCTTTACAATCTGTGACCCTAGGCCCCTTGCCCTGAACTGCAGAGAAGGTTAAATGCTTTGTTTTCTGGTGGGAGGAGCCTGCCCATCCCTGGGCCCAGTGGGTGGGGTCAGAGGATCGATACTGCCAGAGGGTGACATACTGTCCTCAGGATGAGGAGACAGGGTGGAGTGGCATTTGGGCCCCTGATGGGAAGGGGCCTGAGGAGATGAGGGGGGTAGAACCCTTGGGTCTCTAAGCTTCTGATAGGCTGCTCAGTGTGAAACACGGTCCTGTGTGTTTACCTCTCCCCCTTCCCTCTCTCCCTCCCTCTCTCAGCAAAATCTGTAGCTGGCAGAAAATCAATGTCCACCATGTGCTTTTGCACATCCAGTAAGTAGTACTCGGAGCCCCGTGTCCCCTCTCTGGCTTCTGACTTCATTCTGACTCCTCGGCTCCACCTTGTGTGAGGAGCGTCATCCAGGCTGACCCCATGAATCTGTTCTTGGGAAAAGCAGGCCCAGCCCCTTCTCTAGGCCCCACCTTGTTAATAAGCTGTTGGTGGGGCAGCCACAGAGCTGTCTGGATCACAGGTGGGGTGGCGATCCCAGATGCCTTAGCGGAGTGGGTTCCCACAGAAAGGGGGAGGTGGTATCCAAGGGAGCCGACCCGCCCTCCCGAGTCAGCAGAGCAGGGCCAGAGCTTGGCTCTCCCTCCCAGACTCAGGAATCGAGCCTGCTTCCTCTCCAGGGGCACCTTGACCTGCACCTACCTGAGCCATGCGGAGCAGCTGGTCTTCCAGAGCTATGAGTACGTGGACTGCCGGGGAAACAGGTCAGCACCCCACTCGCTGGTGCCGCACCCGCCGTGACCTGGCTGCTGTCCCCAAACTCCGGGAGCCTGCCAGCCTGCTCTGCATCTCACAGCTCTGCCGTGCCCCACAAAGGACTCTGGTGACTGCTCTGTCATGCCCTCCCACGCGCCCCCCACTCTCCCCACTAAGCGCAGGAAGCTTTCTGTGGAAGGCAACTGCGCACACGCACAGCAGTAGCCTCTGATTTCCACGGGCTCGGAGGCCCAGCTCTGCTAGGGGCTGCCGCCAGCCTTTCCTCTCGGGCTGCCTAGGGGAAAGCCTGAGCTGGTGTTTCCTGGGAGGCCTTGCAGCGGGCCCTGCCTCTCTGTTCTGAGCACCTGAGCTGCCCAGCTCCTCAGGTCTGGCCTTTCCTCCTGCCTCCGTGTGGAGGAAGCTTTAATTTTTTTCTGGCTTTAGAAACATGACTTCTTCCCAGGCTCCCCACCTAGTGATAGGGAAGCAACTCAGGGGAGAGGGGGCATTCAGTGCTGACTCTAGGGTCTCTCAGGGTACACAGGTGTTCTCCTGTGCCTCCCAGCTGTGGTCGTGTGACAAAGGGATGGTGATGGGCCGCTTCTCCCTGGTAACTTGCCCCTGCCCATCTGACAGCCGGATTGGCTGAGGCCCTTTTATTCTGCGTCCTTCCTGCTTAAAGGCGGTCCTCATTCCTAGGAAGACAGCTGTTCTCCATCCCACGCTTCTCTCCACAAAACAGTTTTTTATTCTCTTCACAGTAGGAGCAAAGTAGTAGGGGAGGGGAGGAAGGTACCTGGCGCCCTTTGGGCCTACATGGGAAAATCAGACAAAGCCAGAGTTGTTTTCAAAGGTATTTATTGGGAAAGAAAAGTATTATTTATTGAAGGAGCAGGCATAGCCAGCCAAACAGCACGGCTGTGGCGAAGCTGGCAGCACCCAGCCGAGTGGCCAGGCTCTGCCGCACTAGGACGCAGCGTCTGCTGCCGGAGGCATCTGCTTTGCTTTGGCCATTGGCTGTCTGGAGCAGCTCCTCAGGAGGGCCATGTCTAGACCCCTCCTGTCTCTGCTGTCACTCAGCTGAAACTAAGCTCCAGGGACTCCAGGCCCCACAGGGCTCTGAGCAGAGGCAGCTTCTCTAGCTGAGCAGAAATGGTGTTTGCTCACTAAGGTTTTATTGGGCAGCAGAGGGATGAGCTGAGGTGGTGGGGAAAGTCGAACTTGGAGTAGGATGGGTGGAGGGGGGACTGGTGATGGAGCCCGCTGGCTGGCAGACTGGGACAACGGGAGGAAGGAGGCTGGACTGTGTGTCTCCACACTTTGCTGTCTAGGCCCCGGGGTCAGGGCGGTGCTGGCCAGAGCACAAAAGTCCAGAAAAGCCAGGCTAGGGCTGCTGCTGAGTGTACGTCACCGAATGTAAAGATTTATATTGTAATCAATAAACTATACTTAACAAAGTTAAAAAAAATTTTCTCCTGCGAGTGGGACGGGAGCTGGGGGACAAGTCTGATGTCAGCCTGTTCACGTCCTGGTGGGTGTCAAGGCCTCCTGCCCGGGCCCTGAGCCCCTTTGTAACGTGTCCTGTCTTTCTGACCTCAGAGATGGCTCCCAAGGAGCGTGCTCTCTCCCAGTTTACCTCTCAGGCCGGCCCCTTCTAACCTGAGTCCTGTTCTGTGCCCCGCCCCCAGCCACGCCCTCAGGAAGTACTGCGCCGAGGCGCCCCAGTCCGACCAGAGGCACCACTATGTGGGCCAGGAGAACAGGACCGAGGCGTCCTCCTCGCTAGTCCCAGCTGGAAGAGGGACCTCTTGTCTGTCACCGCTCCTCCGACAGGCCCAGGCCGAGACCTCTTGTCTGTCACCGCTCCTCCGACGGGCCCAGGCCGAGACCCGGAAGAGCCCTGTGTGTTTCTGTGGGCCAGTTTCCCTCCCCTTCCACCACCACCTCCTGCTGCTGCCCCCACCTGCTCTGGTGGGAGGCAACCCCTCCTTGTACAACCCCAGTGGCTGTATCTCTAAGCATCGGCTAGGCGGCAGGGGTGGTGGCTCCTGGCAGAATCACCCCTGAAGCCCCCACGGAACTATCATCGGAGAGGGAAAAAAAAAGCCCAGTAGCAGAGCTGTAGACTTGGGAGGCCAAGGCCAAGCTCTCCCACTGGCTTTGCGTAGAGAAGCATGCACTTGCCTTTCACCACCCTCTCACCCTCTCCAGCCCCTTCGTGGGTCTTCCTGCCCCCTTCCCCTCCCCCCAGCCCCACAGCTGGCCAGTCTCCTTTCCAGGAAGAAACATTTCATTCCCAGCTAAGCCGCCACCTATTCCAGATCCAGACAGGGTGGCTTTGGGGTGGAGGTGTTGCTGGGTGGCAAGAAGCTGGGATTGCTTGTCTGTTTCGTACTGATGGCCAGCTTGGTCTCGGACTCTACCTCTGGCTCACCACTGCTGTACGTAATTCGTTGACTGAGAAAAGGAAGAGAGAGGAGGCAGAACAGGTTACTTAGCACTCACTGAGCTGGCTGGTTTCAGACATGAAGCCTTTTGAGACCAGAGAAATCAAAGTGAAATGTAACAGTCTAGTCCTCCTCCTAAAAGGGTTTAGAACGAGCCAGGCTCTCAGCTAAGTGCTTTGATGTCTTGTCATTGCCACATGCCAGCGCTCATGAGCCCGTGAAGGAGGGGGCGTTGCTATTACTGATTTCTGGATGGGGCAGCTGAGGTTCAGAGATGCGGTCACGCTACTGGGGCATGGCGGTTCGACTGGGGCCGCCACCTGCTGCCTTGTGGTCTTGGCTTCCTCCTGCTGCAGTTGTCGCGGACGGACTTGGCTCTTCCAACAGCCTCCATGGTTTGCTTCTCTGGCACCTGTCCTCTCTCTCCAAATAGATTGTCAACCCCTCCACTGATGCTTAGTGCTAGGCAATAGCCCCTATTTAGACATTTTTAGGAAGTAAGGAACAGGGGAGTGGGCCATCCAGCAGTGACTTTGAAATAATCACAGCCCTGACCAGTGTGGCTCCGTTGGTTGGGATCGTCCAGCGAAATGAAATGTCGCTGGTTTGATTCTCAGTCAGGGCACGTGCCTGGGTTGCAGGTTTGGTTCCTGGTCGGGGTGCATGAGAGAGGCAACGGATGGACGTTTCTCTCCCTCTTTTTCTCCCTCCCTTTCCCTTTCTCCAAAAAATAAAATCTTTAGAAGTCACTGCAGCCCCTCCCTCAGTCCTGCCGAGGAAGCTGTCTAGACCCACACACACTCACTCCCAGGCGCACACAGACACGCAGCTGGAGCGAGCCTGCCTTTCACGCCCTGTCTCACCGTGAATCTTGGGCACCTGGCGTACTTATCTGGGCGGGGCTGGCTTGACTTCTTGAAACCTGACGGTGAAACAAAGCACATGTTGCCCATCTGGCAGTTTCTGACACCGGAACACGGCAGAGGCAGATTCTTTACTACGTGACTGGGGGGCAGGCGGCAGCCCCCACCTGGGGCCAGGCGCAGACTGAGCCCACCTGAAAGTTCTCAGTGAGGACCTGCGGCCCCCTGTGCCGGGCCTCACAGGGCCCAGAGTCTCTGTTGCTAAGCCTACAACTCACGCGGCACCCTCTAGCCACCCTCGCCCTGGAGGAAGAGCTAACAGCTTCTGAGCCACCCCCTCCTGAAGCTGGCACCCTTCTTCACAGTGCTAGGCTGGTGCAAACACAGGGAGTGGCCCCCAAGTTAAGGCCAAGGTTGCTGGGGAGAGTCAGAGGGTGGGGTAACGTGGATCTGAACTGTAGGTCTAGGATAAGGCTTCACATTTACCAGGATCTTGAGGGCTTTTCTTCCCTCCTTGGAACTTGTCGTTAAAACAGTTGGATTGCCCTCCGTCTTGTTGTGTCCCCACTGAGACAAGCTGAGGACCGAGCTTTTGGGAGTTCTGGAGACTGTGTTTGGAGGTGTACTGAAGGAGAGGGTCTTGGAAGTTTTGTTGCCTTGGCTGCGGTGGTGGCTGTGGCTGTGGCTGTGGCTGTGGCGGTGCTGCCGGGGGTGGTTGTGGTAGCACCTGTGGCAGCCGCACCTCCTGCTGTGACTCTGGAGGTGGCCGGGGTTGTTTCTCAGTTTGGCATCTGTCCTCTTGCGGTTGCTTTGGTTTCTGTCAAGAAGCACCCGGCAAGTGACATCCTTCTCCCTCCCACCCACTCACTCGTCCGCCAGACGCCTTGGGAGCAAGACAACCAAATCTAGAGCGAGAGGTGCCCCAAGGGTCTGCACTCCCCGGACCGGGGGCTGAGGCTACAGCATGAGCTGTCTCCTTTCGCCCACAGCAACACCCAAGAACGGTTCCTCTGGTGACAGGGCCCCCGGTGCCCCCAGCACAGTCCCTGTCTAGGAAGCATCGGTCTCTGAGCACCTGCTTCCTAGCTTGGGAACTGCGCACTGAAAAACAATTTGCAGTACAGGATAAAGAATAGCTCGGTGCAAATGCTTTCAAGCAGCACTGGCCGGCCCTGGCTGGTGTGGCTCAGTGGGACTGGGCGCCGGCCTGCAATCCCAAAGGTGGCCGGTTCGTTGCCAGATCAGGGCACATGCCTGGGTTGCAGGTCAGGTCCCCAGTTTGGGGTGTGTGAGAGGCAACCGATGTTTGTCTCATACACTGATGTTTCTCTCCCTCTCTTTCTCCTTTCCTTCTGCTCTCTCTAAAAGTGAATAAATCTTTTTTTTTTAAAACAGCACTGTCCAATAGAAATATAATATGTGCCACATGTAATTTTCCATTTTCTTGTAGCAACACAAAGAGGAAGAAACAGGTAAAACTTTTTAATAATGATTTTATTTAACCTCACACACCCAAACAGATAATCAATACAAATATTACATAATTTATATTCTTTGTTTTTGTACTGAGTATTCAAAACCCAGCATGCATTTTGCACTTAATAGCACATCTTATTTAGGCCACAACCTTTCAACAAAAATAATTTAGATTTAGATTTCATCGAATTTCCGGTTGAAAAAGTAGGTCCACGTACCCAAGTGGTCCAAACATAAGGCTTTCCAACATGTTAACTGAGTATTTTAAAATTTCTATTTAGCCCTGGCTGGTGTAGCTCAGTGGATTGAGTGTGGGCTGTGAACCAAAGGGTCGCTGGTTCAATTCCCAGTCAGGGCACATGCCTGGGTTGCAGGCCAGATCCCTAGTGGGGACCACACAAGAGGCAACCACACACTGATGTTTCTCTAACTCTCTTTCTCCTTCCATTCCCCTCTTTCTAAAAATAAATAAAATCTTTTTAAAAATAATAAAATTTCTATTTAAATCAATTAAGTGTGTGTAAAATTTTCAGTTGAGTTCCTCAGATCACCACATTTCAAGGGCTCAATAGCACGCACACTGGTAGCCACCCTATTGGACGGTGCAGCTTTAAAACCTACCAGGCCCAAGCTCCCTCAGCCCCCACGTAGGGCTCAGCAAAGCTGAGTCGTACACACACACACACACACACACACACACACGAGTTCATCCAACAGCCCCAGCTGGCACGGCTCAGTGGATTGAGTGCTGGTCTGTGAACCAAAGGGTCGCCAGTTTGATTCAGAGTCAGGGCACATGCCTGGGTTGAGAGCCAGGTCCCCAGTAGGGGGCGCATGAGAGGCAACTACACATGGATGTTTCTCTCCCTCTCTGCCCCTCTCTAAAAATATATTCTTTTTTTTTAATCTTTAGAAGGGAAAGGAAGGAGAGAAATATCAATGTATGGTTGCTTCTGGTGCATACCCTGCTGGGAACTGGCCTGCAACCCAGGCTTGTGCCCTGACGGGGAATTGAACTGCAATCTTTTGGTTTGCAGGCCCATGCTCAATCCACTAAGCTACACCCTCCAGGGCTTAAAAATATAAAATATTCTTAAAAAGAGTTCATCCACAGGGACACCCAAAGGCCTTGCTCTCCTCCCATTCCCCAACCTTCTATGGGGTCTGTCTTCCCTCCCCCATTCCGGGACCCTGATGAACTTGACCCCTCTCAGGCACCTGTTCTTGCTGCTGCTCTTGTTTGGATATCAGCCACCTCTTTCGGTCCAAAGCCATCTGCCGGCGGCGGGCCTCCCAGTGGTAAGCACTACCCATGATAGTGGGGGGAGGGTGGCAGAAGGCCCCCAGCAGGGAACAGGGCAGGCTCAGCCCGGGATGCTGCCACTGCCCCACCACCTCGGCCACCTCTCCCCCCAACCCCACTGCCAGTCAGCAGAACCACCTCACAATGTGGCCACTACCACGACAACAGGGCAGGACCCCCTGCCTAGGGGAGGAGGAAGGTGTTCCCCCCAAGTCTCCCAGGAACGTCTGTAATGTGTCTTTTTTTCCAGGGCCCTGAACAGATAGCAGACGCCTTCCACCATTAGCTTGGAGTCTCATATGGCCCTGCGGACAATTCTGAAGTCAGCTGGCTTTTCTCTCTGGTTTCTTTCTCCTACCCTTCC